AAAATTTAAAAAAAAAAAAAATTTTTTTAAAGTAAAAATCAAGAGAAGGAAACTTATAAAATAAATATTCTACAATGGGAAATTAAGAAGACTCAGGCACCTCTCGCTTTCTGAATATTTTAAGACTCTTAAGGATGGTAGACAAAAAAGCATTAATGCAATGACAAACATTTTATTTTAAGGCTCGGTATTACATATTGGCATACTTCCAGATATGCCTTTAAATATAATTACTACATAATATATTATGTACAGAAATACCTTTGTTTCAAAATACAGCAGAAAATGGGGGTGGTGGCTGCAAGGGGCTACAGGCACAGCTCTGAATTGCCCATCATCATTATATATGTAATTTGAATTCAGTTTTAAAAATTTGTCAAACTGTATGCTTATGATTTGCACCCTTTTCTGAGGGGTTTTACTGCACCCTTTTCTAGAAGTTTTATTTCTGACTGTTTACACCGCCACAAAGAGTGTTGAGATACCTTGACTCAGGTTCCAACTATTTTCTTTTATTTCAACTGTCTCAAGTCCCCTGCTAAATAAAAAGAAGGGGGGGAAAAATCTATCTTGCCAAACCTTGCCTTTAAGTAAATTATTTCAGCAATTTAAACTAAGGCGAAGTAATTTTTTATAATTTGCTTCACATCCTCTGAAGCTCTCATAATAATGAACCTAGAATAAACTCTAGCTTACACTACCATCCTGGAGGAAAACATTTCATTCAAAGAACAGAGCCACAGAGTGGTCTGTGCATATTTTTTAATTTCATCATCAAATCTGCAATTGGACTAAAACACAGTGAGAAAAGGATTGTGCTAAGCTTTGAAAAATCAATTATGAAAATGGAATTGAAAATTCCTGCGTGCTGCTTTTATATATTTTATATACCTTTCCTGACTGAAAACCTGCTCTGGAAGAGAATGCTCTCAAAGCCAAATGGTAAATAATGCTTACCTTCACTAGAACCGCACAACGTAAAATCACGCACCAACCGAGTTTTTCCTAAAGAAATTTTGGGCGATGAGCAGGAATAAGAACGTGAGCGGACTCCAGAAAGTAACGATTCCTAGAAGAGATCATAACAAAGTTAAAAAAAAAAAAATTCTAAACAGGACTTGAGAGTATGTGTTCACCACAAATGTTAGTAAGTCAGCGTCTCTGTAAAAAGACTCAGTGTGAATATTTCTGATGTGATATCATTTGTTCTTGTTTGCCTATCACAACTTTTAAAATTGTACTGTCTTTTTAATGCTTTAGTAAACTCGAGCGTCTCCCTGCCCATAAACACTTTAAATACAAATATGACATTCTAATCAGGTTGGTTAAAAGTGAAAAATTAAGTCAAATGATTTATTTCCCTGCATATTCAACAGTGGGTCACTTTTTTTTCAACCGAGTTGTCAGGTTTTTTGTTATTTTGTACAGTATCTAAGCAAAATTCCATATTAACTTATAGCTTTTTATTTCATAATTATTAGAAGGTAGAGAAATAGCCACTTACATGAGTTTTTTAATTTCCCAACAGCTATTTAAACTTATAATGTTAGCTGTAGCCTCTCAGGAAGAATGCATCAGGTCAATTTACAAATCCTTTTAGTCTGTGCCCATCTTTCAACAGGCCTTCCATCTAGCACTTCCTGAAATGCTATTTGAGTACCACTGATTTATAGATCTTTAATTTTATTTTTTAAATGACCTACTATTTTTGTTACTTCCTTCCCAATTACACACTATTTCTATATTTGCAACATATGTCACAATGCAAGGTGGCAAGATAATTAAAACATGGCTACCTTATGTGTTCCAGAAAAGTTAAATCAATATGGAATAGAATACCATTAAAGCCATTTATGGTACCCAACTCTCACCCAATTGGGACCTAGGATCCTTAGGATTGATCCCACTTATCCATTTTTAAGCTATCACTTAAAGTTAGAGTTAAAAGAAAGTAATACAAATTTGTTACTAAAATTAAGCCATCAGCAACTGTCCTTCACAAGCGCTGGGAGCTTCCATTCTCCCTAGATGAAAACATATGGTTTCCCTAAGTTCACTGGTTTAGTTAATGGGCCTGGAGGCAAGTTGAAAACAGAAGCCTGCCTCTGTTTCAAAGGGCCTTGAGACTTGGCTGCTGAATTTCTTATTAGGGAGGGCTCGCTGGTTCTAGATATCAGAAAGGCCAGCCAGAGCTGTCCTATACCCCTAATGGTGACTGGCCACAAAGGGCCCTAGCCAAATGCCACCCTCTGCATTTAAGTCATACATAGTAATTATTTCCCCTAACAATGGAACTTTGAAAATTAGCCAGAACTCTTTGGCAAAAAGTTACATAGGGTAATTACAGAAGCAAGGCAAGATACGTTTTATAAGGCAGAGTCTTCCTGAAAAGCGAACAACCTGGAACTGATTAAGAGAGACGGAATTACTTTTCCCTCCAAGTAATGAGAAGTTTTTCATCATTCCATTCAAAGTGCAGAAGAAGTATCTACATGAACGACCATACCCATTTCTCACCATCCAGAAATATCACATGACATTCAGGTTCAAAAGATTATGACTGCTCTACAGGCCTAAGAGCTGAGGGAAAGGGTTCAGGAACCATAGTCAGAAGGCCTGGACCGAACAATGGATCTATCACCAAGCGTGGGCAACCTGGACAAGACATCTAATATCTCCAGAACCTCATTTACTCAAAAACTAAAAGGTAATATTTATGTCCTAACTAAGAGAAAATGATGTATTTTGTACAAATGTAACACATGCTTCATATACTGCAAAGCACACTACAAAAACAGAGCATTATCATAACTATCAGATGTTCACAGGAAGAGAAGTTTGGGCACAGGGCACATTATTTTACAGTAGTAAACTCAACTGCAAAAGAAAATAAATAGACAAAAGAAATCCAAAAGGAAGAAAACTTAAGTGGAAACACAAAAAGGCTTTGTCTAAAAGGTTAAAAGAGTTCATTCTTTAAAAACCAAAACAAGGGGCGCCTGGATGGCTCAGTCGGTTGAGCAGCCGACTTCGGCTCAGGTCACGACCTCGCGGTCCGTGAGTTCGAGCCCCACGTAGGGCTCTGGGCTGAAAGCTCGGAGCCTGGAGCCTGTTTCGGATTCTGTGTCTCCCTCTCTCTCTGCCCCTCCCCCGTTCATGCTCTGTCTCTCTCTGTCTCAAAAATAAATAAACGTTAAAAAAAATTAAAAAAAAAAAAAAAACCCAAAACGAAACAAACAACCCCAACAAAACTCCAATGTGAAAATGTCTATGAGAGAGAAAAGTCCTCTCCTACAGGAAAAGTGACAGAGTTTACAGTGTCCCACATTACTTGGTGCAGCCGGGAAGGCTCAACAAATACCCGCTTTGCCTTAGTAATATTTACCTCAACACCGGAGCCAAGTAAAAATGTATGTGAGCCAAAACCAGACTGATCACATAAATCCACTTCTTCTTGCCAGTTTTTCTCCCTTTGCTTAAGGAACGGTGGCATAAATCATTCTATGAGGCAGTAAAGTTTTCCAAGGATGTGGAAGATTATATGTACTGATGGCAAATTAATTTAATATAAATCAGTCATGTGAAGCACTATACGGATGAAATGGAGTGGGAGAGATTAACAAGACAGACTCAATCACACAGCTCATGAGTCTCCAAAAAGAAACAAAAAACAAAAAATTGTTCACACAGGCAAATGAAACATAACCTGTCCTTCACATACAGATGGACTGCTTTAGAGAACATGGCTTCCGTGCTAACAACAAACCAAATTAATAGCATTAAGAATACCTTCAACTGCAGGTTACTTGATAAAGAAAGGGACTCGGTCCTGGAGATACTAAAATCTGGTTCAGGGGTGGTCTCAAAAGAGTCCAATTCATCCCCACTAGGGATCCCGGTTCTTGAGGAACTCTGAGACACTGGAGTGTAGCAAACGTGTGAATGTTCAGAATGCCCCTCCCCTTCACTGTCGGCATCCAGGGCATCGAGGCTGGAACTAAAGCACAAGGTAAGTAAACATCACATAAGCCTACAGACTGACCGACACAGTCACTGGTTTCTGTTTCTCTCAATTCAAATTCTCCTTGGCTGAAGATGCAATGCAGACTCATTTTGTTTCTAACAAAACTTACAATTTTTTTCTCCCCCCGAAATCTCTTCTTCTCAACAAAATTTTATGTTTCCCCAAGTGAACATTGCTACCTAACAAAAGCCATTTCAAGTACTTTAACAAAACCTGCTGTAAGTTGGTTCTGCCTTACTTATTTCATAAATCTAATTATTACCAGCCTTACGTATCCTTCAAACACTAAAACTGTGGATGAAACAAAACCACTGGGCTCTTTGGGAGGCCTGTGGGGAATAGGCAGCATGGGGCTGGAAAGCTCGGGGACAATCAGGGACAGACTGCAGTTCACGCCTCAGAACTGACTATTGTCAAGAAAAGAGTCAATATGAGAGAGTCTTAACAATAAGAGGGAGGTGGAGGGCGGTGGGCTAGATGGGTGATGGGCATTAACAGGGGCACTTGTCATGATGAGCACTGGCTGTTATATGCAAGTGGTGAATCACTCAGTTCTCCTGAAACAATATTGCACTGTATATTAACTAACTAGAATTAAAATAAAACTTTGACAAAGAAAAAAAAAAAAAGACAGGAGTCAACATGAATCAAGTGGGGTCCCAAATGTGTCACGTTAGATCATCATTTTTAGAGATTTTAGGTGAGACTTCCCCCTCAGAAGCAGGTAATAATTCTGATAACCTACTGCTTTTCTTTCCTGTTTTCACTTTAATAACCATAAAATTAAAAGGAAAGAATGTGACCTTCTATATTCCTGGCTCATTCCATAATATTTACATTTTAAACCGCTCAAACTTTGAAGCCAAGTGCTTCTATAGGCATGTTAATGCTCAATGCATTTTCAAATGTGTTTTTCTTTCATTGTTGCAGTACTGGAGTTAAAATGTTAATGACAACACAATAAAACCATCTCGCTTATGAAATATGAAGAATATGAAACTTTGAATTAGTCCATGTTGGTTCTTTTTCTTAAAAATCCATAGGCTACTTAATGGCCACTGAATACCAACGTCATCAATTGTGACACTTACATAGAAATGAAAGCCACAACTGGCATCAGTGAGCTGTTCCAAAGTGGGGTTTTCTCCTTTCAGAACCCATGGAGGGATTTCACCTTGGCATTGAGCACAGAACACACCGGGGGTGGACTTCACACTGTAATTCAGTGCAAATGCTGAAGTCCATAAAGTGATTTCTCATAAAAAAAAAAAAAAAAAAAAAAAAAAAAAAAAAAAAAAAAAACTAAGGCTTGGTGTGAAGAAACACTTTCTGGCAAATACTTGTGCTCTGAATGTTATTACAATGTAATTATAGATATATTAAGGTGCTATGTAGTTTCCTTAATTCAATGGTAGTCAGAGAGTAGACAGAGACCTTAGGGGATAAAGGGGTTAAAGGTCTGCTGATGTCTTGTCCCCCTCTATTTGCTTTTAACTTGTGATCTCTGTATTAATAAACATTAAGTTCAAATGGTTGGCTGCCTGCAATCCTATCGTAATTTAACATAAGCCTTTCCAGATACATACAACATTTCTCCATTGCTGTGAGTATACGCTACAACTATCAGTGATTATTATCTTATTTTGCATGCTATACATTAAAACATTCCTTTTTCTACTAATTTCAATTGGGCTACTATTTTTCTTCATTAAGCTGTTAAGCTAAGATATTTGGTATCATGAACAGTATTCTTTTTTTTATAAAAAATTTTTTAGTGTTTATTTATTTTTGTGTGAGAGACAGACAGAATGTGAAGAGGGAAGGGGCAGAGAGAAAGGGTGGCCCAGAATCTGAAGCAGGCTCCTGGCTCTGAGCTGTCAGCACAGAGTCCAACATGGGGCTCGAACTCATGAACCGCGAGATCATTACCTGAGCAAAAGTCAGACCCTTAACCGACTGAGCTACCCAGGCGCCCCTCATGAACAATATTCTTCGGGATCACCTCTTGGTCAATGTTTTATAACGCTATTTTTAAAAATCCCATTAGTGAAATATGAAATATAATTTAGGTTGTGACCCAAATTTTCTTTTAAAATAGTATATAATAGAAAATAACAGAATACATTCCACATGTTATTTCATAGGACATTTCTTTACTGTTTTTGTGTATGTAGGTGGCGCGGGGTCATGGTGTGAAAAGTATTTCTTACTGTGGATGGTGGTAAAACAAAAAAGGCAAGTTTTAGAATGAAACTTCATTCATCTTTTTTTTGTTGTTGCTGTTGGGCATTTTAAAATAAACGTTGCATTGCTTACTTTCCCCTTGTAGCTTCTCAAAACAGTTAAGTTTCAGTAACAAAATGGTTATATGTTGGGTCTATTTAATTTTCACTAAAATGTCTTAAACCTTAGAAAATTTAGGATTCAGGTCCCTGTGTTAACCTCAGTTTTTATTGTGTGCCCTCAAATTTCTCCTTCATGAGAAGTTGCCAGCCTCTCAGCTTGTTATTGACTTTTTAATGAGTGAGGTGCATTTCACTTTGAGCTCAACATCAATCCTGTTACACACTCCTAACCTGGCACCCACTGAAAGAAGGGTCCCACAGCCATCCCAGAGCCAAAATGGGGCTTTCTGGGGGATCGCAAGTCCTTTCTCCTCATTCCTAAATTTTCTACAAGAGATAGAATGTCTTTGCTAGATAATGCCAAATTATTTTCCAAAGTTACAATGCAATTTTCACTCCTATCAACTGTACTTGGGATTTCCACTGTATACATTTTCAACAAAATGTGGTATTGTTACACTTTAAAAATTTTTGCCTATCAAGTAATGTAGAATGCTATCTCATTGTGCTTTTCCTCTATTATTTTTTTGTCCATTTTCATAAGTGTCTTACTTTTAAGGCAAGGAATATAGGAATGTAAAAGGGGGTAATATTTTGATGTAGAGATCAAAGTGGATGGGACAATAAAATCTAATAAAATATAATTTCACAAGTTTAGCTACAAAGCTTTTTGATATTCTACACTTTTCCTTTAGAATATAGTATCTTACCTTTTTTTCCCCTTACCTTCTTTTCTTTAGGTGACTTTGCTCCTTTTCAAATCCATGAAGACCAAAAGAAAGATTAAAATCGGAAGCATATGAACCAGATGGTGATGCAAAGGACTGCCGAGCTTCAGTACTTGAGGCCACTTCCTTCTTCTCACTTAGCGGGTATTTTCCATGGCTGGTTTCTGCAGCAAGGATATGCTTGCAGCTCTGAGGTCCCAGAGTAGAACCCATCGATTCAGGGCAGGTGTTTGTAGTGATACCTTCTATGTTAATGTAGTTAATATCCAAATCGCCAACCTAGTAGTTGAAAGAAAAATATTTGCGGAGCAAAAGTAGGAAAGACTGGCGGAACAGAGAATAAAGTTTCCCCAATTTAACAACCTTCCACCTTATTTACCTTGTTTTGTTTGTTCTCGTTTTATGTAAGGAGAAATTCTTTCATGGTGTTTTTGTTCACTTGGGTGCTATCCCATAATTCACAAAAGGAAGAAGACCACCTGAGTGCTTTATAAAGTTGTTCTTTACTACAAAACCCAAAATGGACTATGCTTTTAACATTTTATGAGCCACTGACTCAAAAAAAGGGATGTATTTTAAATACTTGAGCAAAAATTAAAGGGTAGGCAATGACATAATGGTTATATACTGTGTCTATTTTATATTCACCAAAATGTCTTAAACCTTAGAAAATTTAGGATTTAGGTCCCTGGAATCTGGATAACCAAGGTAGTGGTGGTCACATAAATCCTAGTCTCAAAAAAACAAAACAAATTACAAACTAAAATAAGAATAAAACTACATAGGATGCAGGGACTTAACTAAAAGACATAAAATGCCCAAACTTCAAATTATCAGTAAAAAATAATGCTAATGCCAAATTTCAGCAAACAACCTGCTAGACTCCTGCCATAAGCCTGTGCAGAAACTGAGAGCTGTCTGGAAAATTCTGCATGGCAGAGTAAACAGGGAGATAGTGGAGGGCCTAAGACTGACCTAAAACCATCACTGGAAAAAGAAAGGGCAACCTACACATATGAAAAAAAAAAAAAAAAAAAAAAAAAAAAAAAAAAAAAAAATCCTGGTTGATCAAAGCCCTTGTTCTAAGGAAGGGGCTTAAAAGCATCAGTGATCTGAGGTGGCAGTAATCAAAGGAGTTACTTCCAGGTGACAAAACAGTAATAAGAAAGAGGGTGAAACTGGTGACAGGGTAGTACAGGGGGAATGAAGTAAAAGGAGGAAAGGTGGAGTCCTAAATCTTCATCATCATAATAATTCACTACGGCAAAAACAATCATCAAGGAATGCTCAAACCAGCAGTTCGGAGTTTGTTAAGTAACAGGAGATGTACAGACTCAAACTCTCTTCCTGCAAGACGCTTAATATTTTAAAAGGAGAGAGTAATTTTACTGAAAACAAACTTGGCAAATCAAAGATAACATCACCAGTAATGGGATAAATTAGTGTCATGTGCCTCCTGATACAATGCACTGAGAAGAACACAACACCCTTTCTTTAATATTCCTGCCAACCACACGTAGCCTGAACCCAGTTGTGAGGAATTATCAGAGAAACCAAAACTGAAGGACATTCCTGGTCTGTAGTCTTCAAAATTATCAACTTCATGAAAGACAAAGACTAAGGACAGGTTGCAAACTATAGGAGATTTAAAGAGAAAGGACAACTAAATGCGAGACATTTAACTGAATATTCTTTTGCTACAAAGAATTTATTGAGTCAATCTGTAAAAGTGAGTGAGGTCTGTAGACAGTTAATGCTATGTTAATGGTGATTTCCTGATTTCAGTAACTATAGGTGCTTGGTAAGAGGATAACCATGTTTTTTAGGAAATAGACTATGAAAGACTGAGGGGTAAAAGGGCACCATATTTTCAACTTGCCTTAAATGGTTAATATTTATGTACTTATTTTCATCATTTGCATCTACAAACACATGCTCAGAGTATATTTACCCTAAAATGTGGTAAAATATTAACATTTGGGGAATTTTGATAAAGAGTATACATGTATTCTTTGTACTAAATTATGGTTTGAAATGATGTCCAAATAAAATGGATTTTTTTCAAAGTAGTTTATATGACAGAGTAATTTGCAAAATAGTTTCTACCATGTATATCTCCTCATCAGATAGGTTGATAACTTTGAGAATTCACTGGAAAAAGCATCACAAATAAGATTCTCATCACAATCTAGTTAGATTTCTGTGCCAGGCTGGGGCAGATGAAAGAAATTAAACAGGATTCTTCTCAGATACTGATAGCAAGTATTTCAAATATGCAGAATTTGGACTTCTTATATTATCCTTGCTATTCAAATCGATGTAGGAAAAGTAAAAGAAACCATATAACTATGCCCCACTGACAGAGTGAACTTTGTGATTTGTATTCATACTTGTAGTTTTAGTTCTGTTTTCGTTGCACAAATCCAGCCCCATTTCAGTTTATCGATTAGGCTATTTGAGTTCTCTTGAAATTCACACTTCACATTACTAAAGCAATACTTATCTCAAGATCTCCCCAAACAAAATTATATCCTAACCTCATCTTTGGTTTGGGAAGTTTTGCATGCTTAATGCAAGAACACAAGTGTCCCCCACGTAATACTGAGTCATGTACAGTTTTAGCTACTTGAAGTAAAAGGAAATATTGCAGTATTCACTAAGGCTCAGAGCCAAAAGATAAGAACTCAAGTAGTATTTCATTTAAATGCTGAGAAAATACCACAACCATTAGAAACAGAATGTCGCTAGAGCACGCCAAACCCAATTTCCCTGTGTCTTCAAAGAATGTCCCCAGAACTCCCTGTTTGTCCTAAACTCTGTTTCATCCTAGATTTCTGTAACTAGGGTTGACACTCAGCTGCTTTATGCCAAAAAAAAAAAACTATACCAGCTATTTACAACTAATTTCCGTTCTCATTTATTGGTTCCTCTGTCATTCTGAGTATCATCCCAATCTTTGCCATTTATGATGTAACAATGATTTGATGTAACAATGATTTTAACACAAAAGGAAAACAACCCAAAATACTTGACTCGGGGTGAAATTGAGATCTACTAGACAGAAAAGTATGTATCACAGAAAACATCTATAAGTAATACGCATACTAACAACAAAAGGGGGCTCAATAAGCATATATACGATGCACCTTTTCTGGACATTAGGTTTTGAGGTCTGTGGATAAGGCAAAAATTATATGCTGTCAAAATTACCCTTGAAAATGCCTAAAATTGTCCATAAATTAGTGTGCAGAGTAATCTTCAGATCTAAAACTATGTATTAATTTTTATAAATATTAAAATCTGAGGATCATTCAAACCACATGCCTCTATGAGATCTAACTCACCAATCTCTGCCAGAGAATAGATGGGGCATTCTAAAGGGTTCTAACTTCCCAGGAGTATGATACCATTCTCTTTTTTTTTTTTT